CGGGAAAACCCATACCCGCCCCCAGTCAACTCGGGTTTTCCCGTCAAACTCGAGACGGGGACAAGTCGATCCCCACGGGTACATGTTTAATTGTCATTCCTATACTTCAGCGAAATACAGTTTAAGATAACTCTTTCTCCTCTAGTAGTCATTATTTTAGTAATTTGATACCATCTTGGCTTTTTCATTAAGTAAGAGCTCGTTACTTGACAGACTTACCACCACCTTTTTCTCTTGTTTAGCATCTTGCTTTTAAATAACTGACTTCTCTTGTCTTGACATCACTCCTTAACTTCTCCCAATAGCTTTCACCTCATGGTTCCTTTTTCCATTGGTGAGTGAGAGTGAGTCTAAAAAGTTAAAATAAATATTTTTAATACTTAATTATTTTTTAACGTTATAAATTTTGTGTAAGTATTAAAATATTTTTATCATCGAGATAAAAATATTGAAAATAAATTTTTATCCATATATTTTTTATCATGTATTATAAATATTTTTATTTCAATTCTAAGTGACGTCTTCACATGAAGAGAATAATAGATTTTATTAACTAGTTTTCTCATCTTAGCATATAAACAACGAAGAAGTAAAAAAATACTTATCAATTCAAAATATATATGCTCGGATTAACTTAACCCTTATCATTTTAATTTCCTCTTGTTGTTTCTTGTCAAAATTCAATTAAATTTAAAAAATCTAAAGAATTTTATTTCAGATAAATAAGTATTCTTTTATTATAACTTTTTATTTACAAAATTTTCAATGAGATGAATATTTTTTATATTAAAAAAGTTGATAACATTACAATAATTTATATCATAATGAAAGTTAAGATTAAAAAAACCATTTCCTATAGTGTCTCTACCCATCACCTCCATTATTGATTTAAATGAAGATTAGTAGTTGTTGACTGACCCACATTATGAAATAATGATAACAACAAAAAATTGTAAAATAGACGAAGTAAGAATGAGAGAAGTGAAATTGATAGGTTGTAATTAATATCATTGTCGAATACTTTAATAGCTATTGTATCTGGTCCTGTATGAATGTAAAGCACTCCTATCCCACCACGTGCTTACGTATCCACACCACACCTCATAAGATAGTAGTGTCCATGGAGTTTTCAAGATAATGAAGGGAACGAAGATGATGGTAACTAGGGAAGGTGTTATTGTAAATAGGTACATCTAATACCAATTATTAATTATTCTACATCACTCTTGTTAGGACTCGGGTTCCCAAAATCACACTCACCTACCACTCACCACCACCATTGCTTTCTCACTCTTTCTATTTGAAAAATACTTTACTTTGGAATTTTCTTCTTCTTCATATTTCTAATTACATGCTTTAAACTCAATCAAATTTACTACAAATGTATAACAATTTTATTTAATATAATTTTACGTTTCGATTTTTAAATTTTTTTGGATTATATACCATTCATGAAATCATCTTCAGGTGAATGAGTGAAATGGTAAGGAAATTGTTGTGAAAATTACTAAGTTACCCTCCCTCAAAATATCATGCACGTGAAAATTGAGGATGTAAAATGTGCATTGACATAAATCTTTAATATTTTCAGCTTAGTTAAAAAATAAAATAAAAGAAGGTAAGTTATTATGATATTATTGAACATTAATTTTTAATTGTTAAGTTTTGGGTTAAAATTTGATATATTAAGTAAAATTGATGATATTTTACTAAATTTTAATTTAAAATTAATTTTTATTAAGTAAAATAATCTCCCCGGTTAAGAAAAATTAATATGTTCAATTTTAAGTATATTTTGATAATTCATTATATTATTGAATTAGTATATATTTTTATTCTAAGAACTCAACATTAATTCTAATTTTTTATTCATTTATCCTCATTTTCTATTGATTTTTCTCAGTCAAATATCATTTTTTTTTCATTATTATATTCATTTTGTCGTTCACTTCTTCAAATTTACTTCCCACTATAAACAAAGTACTAGCAGTTGTAAAATAGATTTAAAATTATTGTTATGATGTTTCTATTACATTAAACAAATTAAAAAGATATTAATAAGGTTTATTTTGATGTATTTATTTTTGTTAAACGAAATGTTTTTTAATTATTCAACACAACTTAATTAATTGAATTGAGTCACTCAATTTATAAGTTATATAATGAATTGTAATATTATAAATTAAATTTATTATATATTATATAAAAAACTTATAAGTTGTAAACTAAATTTATATAATTAATATAAATTAAATTTATTAATATATATAATAAATTATGAAATTATAAATTTATTAACCGACAAAAACTATAAATACTATAATAAATAAGCATTAGGAAAAGTTTCTTATTGCTTTGTTTCCTTTGTCTCTTAACTTCAAAAAAGAAACATTATATTTGTGTTATTGTTCATAATTAACTAAACCCATTAAGTTTGATTTTTTTTTTAATAGATTTGTTTCAGGCTATTACAACAAAATGTATTATTTATTAATAATGGATAACAACGTGTTTAAATAAAACTCACCAAATAATAGAATAATAATGTAACCAAAGTTTATCTCAATAAGATAAAATATATGTTTTTTCAGATTTGTGTGTATAAAACGTGTCTTAACATTTTATAAATTCATTTATTAAATATTTATATAAAAAACGAAGAAAAAGAAATATGTATTATTTATTAAATATTTATGACAAAGATGTATTATTAATTTATAAAAAAAAATTATAAAACTATAAATAAATTGATACAGTTAAATTTTATAAAAAGATGGGCCTTTTGTTTTGTTTTTGGGACGGGTTAATTTCTGGTTGCTTGACCCTTCAAGACTCAAGGCCCAATATCAGCGAGAAGAAGTCCTAAGTCTTATTTTCGGTAACTTTTTTTTATTTTATTATTATTATAATATTTTTAAGATCGGATTTTTTATTAATAATATTTATTATATAAAATAATAACAATAATAATAAGTTATTCTATAATTATCATACATAAGTTATAATAAAATATAAAATACAAAATAAAAATAAAAGGTGAAATATTATTAATAATAATAATAATAATAAAATAATAAAATAATACTGTTGGGGATATGTATACATAAAAATTCATTTGGAGAGATTAGTTTAACTAATCATATATATTAAGTTATTCACAATTAATTATAGTGATATATCCAATGCAATTATTCAAAGTTAATGCATCAAAAATTAGTATTAATATGTTACAGTGAATATATATATATATATATATATATATATATATATATATATATATATAACAAAATGTAAAAAATAAAAATAAAAAAGGAACGAGAAATTACATTTCTGCGAAACTACGAATATATTCAAGCTGTGATTTCATGTGTATAAATCTAAATCTATATATGTTCGACGAAGATGTATGAAACACAACATCACCCAAATTTTAGGCCCATTTTGTTATAGCGTTTAAAAACAACCAAAAGTTGTTTTTTTTTTTAAAGGATCATAAGTTATTTTAATAGGTCATTGTGAAATAATTTTTTTAAAATAAAAGTATTTTTATATCTTTAAAAAATCATACCTTCACTTTGCTTTATTTAAAACCTCTAAAAAATAATTACAAAATTATTTTACATTATAATCACTTTTTCGTTTTTAAATTTAAAAAACTAATCATCGATCTACCAACATCAATTCCCATAAATTTGTCATAACTACTCATACACGAAAGAAAATGAAATTATATATTTTCACCATTTATAAAAAAAAAATTGATTGGAACATAAAAATATATATTTTATTAAATTTTTATTTAAATTAAATATTTATATATTTTTTTATTATTTAAAATAAGAGAAAATAATTATATTATTATTTATATTGTCGTAAAACAAAGTTTAACATAATAATATACTGATTCAAAATATTAAAGAAATAGATTAGATGAAACCAAAAAATTGTTATATAAATTAAATAAGATTTTTTTTCGATGTTTAAATTATAACTTACGTTAATTTAAATTAGACTAACATAAGTTTATAGACTAATCTATTTTATATAAAAATAATTATGTTTATATAAAAATAAAAATAATATTAATTTATTAATATATATATATATATATATATATATATGTTATAAATTATTTTGACAGAGAATTTTTTATTTTAAAAATAATTTTGTAATATCTATTAATTATAAGATAAATAATTAAAATAAATTATTATTTTATATTAATAAATTTTAAAAAATGATAACAATGATAATAAAAAATATTTTTTAACTTTTATTTTTGGTATTTATTTTTTTATAATTTATATATTAAATTATTATATTTAAAATAAATTTATTTTTATTGATATAATTTAAATTTTAAAATTAACTTTTAAATATTTTTAATTAATTATTTTGATATAGGTATATTAATAATATTTTAAATTTGTAATAGGTAAAAATTTGTTTCGTTCATAAATATAAATATAAAGACTGTTAAATCAAAATTTATAACTCATTTTAATTTATTTTTTTTACTTACTTCTTAGGATTATATTTTATTAAACTAAATTATTTAATAACCCTAAAATTAAGATAATATTAATATTTGATATTTTATTATATTTTTATTATATAAATACTTAGAGAATAAATAAAACACTAAATAAAAGTAAAATTCATCATATCTTATATGTCATACATAAAAAAAACCATAACTAAAGCAAAACTTACAAAATTCCAACAAAGGTTGAATCTTTTATATTCATCAGATTGCATTTAAATTAGTAAATAATAGTTATAGTGCTAGGTGCAGACAGCAAGACTTTGCGATGGCATTAAAGTTTCATTTACTACACACTCAACTGCTCCACACTACATGTTTTTAGTTTTCCCCTATAAAAAGGAGAATACCAAGCACTGTTTTACCACACAAAGTGAAAAGAAAACCTTGTACACATAAGATAGTGAGAAAAACAAGTGTTGAGTTGTGTTGTGCAGAGACAAGAAAAAAGAGACACATGGCTAGGTGGTGGTGCATCTTAGTTCTTCTTGCTCTTGCCGTCGCTGCTGCAAGTGCCAGAACCATTCCCAGTGACGCTGCTGCGTTTGGGGACCAGAAGAACTTCCTCGGCTACGGGTTTTCAGGAGTAGGCAACAATGGGCTTCCCTTTGGAGGACTGGGCTCTGGCTTTGACGGTAGCATGGGTGGGCCTTCTGGGCTCGGTGGGTTTGGAGGATTCGGCGGGCCTGGTGGGCTTGGCGGTCTTGGAGGCCCTAGTAACAATGGAAGCCCCAGCATTCCTCTCCCTTGAGCCCACACACCTTCTTCCTGTTTGTTACTTGCCGTTGCTATAGCCTATAGAGTCTTTCTTCTTTCTTTGTTTTATTTGGTGAAGAAAATAACTGTGCGTGAGGTGTGTAACAGTGTGTGTCATGGTTCTTAGTTTTACGTCATGGTTGTACTTTGACTTGGAATTAAAACATATATGTTTTTTAATGTTTTTTTTTCGTGCTTAATTCTCTCTAAACTTATTCCCACTTTATCTCGCGCAATACGTAATTGGATTAATATCACCTTTTTGGATAAACATTTTAATTAAGTTTAATATATAATAAGTACTAATTATTATGTAAACACCTACCTAGAAGTTGTTTTTATGATAGAAGGAAAAAATTGATTAAACTATTATAAAGAACTTGTCCAAATTATGAACGTACATATATCATAATTTTATTGTAGATTTAAAAAAAAAGGTTAAATGAAAAAACGAGTTATCTGATATCTTATAAATATAAAAAAGTTAATATTTAGTCTATGTTATATGATAATAAATAAAAAGATGCTATCATGTTTTATTTCATTATAAAATTGTTCGTATTTCTATTTTCTTCGTAGATTTTCTTTGAAAAATTTTATATAAATAATTTTTTTACAATTTTTTCTTAAATTTTGTAAGACCCATAAAAAATTTGTAGAAAAAAATCCCACAACATACATATAAAAAGTTATAATAACGATTATTTTACAGCATCTTATTTTTACTATATATGATGTCACTAGTATAAAAGATCTACGGGATGGGTATAATTTAAAAGAGGGTGATTGATTGATAACTCATTCAACCCATTACAATAATAAATAATACTATTCTATTAACATATTTAGATGTTGAATGTTCGAATCTAACAAAAGTGGTTTTAAAGTAAACATTTCTCAATTTGAAATTGAAGGAGGTATAGCATCAGTTCCCTTTTTCAGTGTAGTTTCATGATTTATAAAAAAATATATATGATTCTTTAACTTCCTTACTCAATATACTTACAATTTTACAGACTTGTGTCAACTATCTATCTATCTTATTATGAGGTTAAGTATGGTGCCATATATAACAAGTTAGGTAAATGGATTGAATGAGAATTTAGTGACACAGTGACCTATCCAAGGATAATAATAGGCTCCATGTTACCCTTGCCAAGTATATCAGAGTGGCAACTAGAAGTAGTTGCATGGTTTCCATTTGAATGAAACAATTGAATAAGAAGGAGAGGGTCAACTAAATAGTAAATAACCCATTAATCATTGTTACCTACTCTCTCTTTCATGTTTAATATTTAGTTATGGTTGAATTTGTATAGTTTAATTTAACAAGTCCCACACATTGAAGAGGTTTGTAGGTCTTATAAGATGAGACGTTTTTCGACCTCTTGGGCTTTTGAGAGATAATTTATCTCTTTAACTTTATGATTGTTACATTCGTGTTTTTATTGAAAGTCAGCCAACTTGAGAATGACTATTCATGGAGAATTCTAACCGGTAAAAAGGTCGAGTGAAGTAGCGGTGAATGAAACACCAGGGAGTGCAGTTATCAAGGATGCTGACTTTCGAAGGGGATGATGTTGTAACAAGTCTCACATCAGAGATGTCTCCTTACTAGTGATGTCTTATAAGGTGGGAGATTCTTCAACTTCTGGGACCGACTTTGGAGAGATGATTTACATTTAATTATACCTAAATATCTAACTTAAGTCCTCGTTATCAATTATCATGTTCATATTCTAGTCGATTTTGTCTTTAATAATAGAACCATATTACCATTTTTTATTTCAAGTGGGTAAGCAAACTTACCTGTTTCATTAGGGCACCATGAATGCTACTTGTGTATGACACTGTGCTATCTGCAATGCTCACTGAGTCAACTAACTTGTCAAACTGTTATTGAAGATGATAATATTGTGAGTAAAAAAAGCACCAAAGTTAGTGCAAAACCTTTTTTTAGTGCTCAACAAAGATTCTTCTACGCGTGATGATTAATCAAAACTTTTAACAATATGGTTAAGTTGGTGCATAACTTAATGAACTCGTTCATAAATTATTGGAGTTTTGTTGAGTATAAATCTTTACATTGTTGTTTCTGGTGGAATTTCAATCCATTTTGTCTCTTAAAATATTTTAATCCTAATCAAAATTCTACCACGTAAGTTCTTTTGACTTAGGCTAACAAATTAATTTTCAATCGAGATGTGTATGAAGATCGAATTTTGCCCGATTTCAAAGATACTATTTTTGGTGTTTTATATTTAAAGTGCTCGAAGTAAAGAAAGCAGAAAATTCGTGGAATCGAAAAGCAGTGCTGAACATTAGATTGCAAAGAAACGTAACATGCGAAAATCTTAAATTTGCTTTAAGTATAAAAGACAGGGAATCGAAACAGCAGAAATGTAAATAACAGGAAGTATAAATAACAGTAAACCAAATGTGCAGAAAGTATAAATAACTTGGAAATCGAAATCGCATCAATGTTAAATGACAAGAAAACTTAAACGCGGAAATCTAACTTTCATTGAATCGAAATAACTAAAAATCGAAAGTACAGAAACATAAAATTGCTGAAGATAAATTGCATCAAAGTAAATTACCAAGGAAAATGCAGAAAACGGTAAAGGTATTCAATGAGCATGGAAATCCAGATTGCCAGAAGCTTCATGATGTTCGTCGTTTTTCTGGTAGACTTCTCACTAATGATTCTGTTCTCTGCCAATTTTCTGCTCCCCTTTCCCTTTCATTCTTCGCCCTATTTATAGAGCATCCTTTAAGCAAGTAACCTCTTAGGAGCAGTTAATGAAAACTGCTACCACGTCCTACGTGCCTGTTGCAGTTTCTTCTTTGGTGTCAAAATTGCACCCACGTTCCCATGATCTTCGACCTCCGCCATGGTTTAAAAACTGCTTTCACGTTCCCATACATGAGGTAACTGCTTCTTTGACCTTGGACTTTTGTCATTGCTTGCCATGTTTGATTGTACACGTTAATTGTTTCTTTCTTTATAACTTAACCGAGATTTCGATACATGGGTTAACCTTTCTCCGATGTTAATTTCGGAATTTCGAGAACATTTGACTTGCCTTTGATTTCTCTTAATCTTAACATTACATAATTCTGATTTCTCGATTTCATTCACTAACGGGTATTAAACATTCATCCTTCGATTCTCGATTCAAATTCTCGCTTATATTGTCACGTGGTCGTCGAACGCATTTTCCAGCTATCTTTCGATTTATCAGTCTTTAACTCAATCAAAAAGGGTTCTTGATTTTTCTTCCCTTCGTTTTTTCGATCACTTTTCTCGATTTTCCACTAACAAAATGCTCCCTTGGAAGAATATAAATAGTTTCCTTTTATATTCTTTCAACATGATTCTCGCTTTCGCTCGTTGGAGGCCCACAATGATTTAGGGTTTAGGGTTTCTGGGGTTTTAGGGTTTATGGGTTTTTAGGGTTTCTTTTTGCTTTATGTCGCCGTCTCGTCAGTCTGCTGCCTTGCAGTACAAGTCACATTAATTGCCCTTGCTTCCGTCGTTTCCAGCACCCTTTTCCCTTTAAACTCTATTAGTTTTTTATTCTGGTTTTTTACGCGAATTTTTACCTCTTTGCAACATCGTCTTCCTCCTTGAGCTCTTGCCTTCGTCCTTGCTACCCCACCTTTTAACCTCTATCTTGTTGCTTTCTTTAGCTTATTGAAATGGCAACTTCGTCCAAGTCTTCTGATTTTTCAGCTCCACCTCTTCCTTCGCTGACGGCTAACCTTCTGGAAATCAATAACCAGAAGTTTGCTCCAGTCCCTCTAATGGAGGAAGCTTCTCAGAAAGTCACTGAGACGCAGGTACTCATTCCTTACACTGCTGATGGTGTTAATTTTGGTTTTGGGGGTCCTATTCGTTCTAGTAGTGGGACTTTTTCTTCCTTCATCCTCTCGAATAGTCCAACACTTATTCACCACCCTGAAGTTTGGATTAATTTTTTGACTATGGTCTCGAGAGTATACCGGACGGGTCCTCCTTCCAAAAAACCTTCTTTTATTAGGTGGTTTGATAGAGTAGAAGCCAAGTTTGGGAACCACTAGAGAGATGTAGGGATTTTTGATTTTTTACACCTATCTCGATGCGACTTGTCGTTTTTGGATATGGCAATGTTTTTGTCTGCAGTGCATTTGTGGAATAAGGAATTACATGCTTTGGAGTTACCCTGTGGTCCCCTTTCACCTACTCTCTTTGAGGTTGCTGCTATAACCGGACTAAAACCCACTGGGGAAAAGTATTATAAGGGTGCTTACCCTTCGGATAATTCTTTGATGTCTAAAATCGATTGGGAATCGAAGGCCTATGGTCATTTCCTTGAGAAGCATTTCGTCGATGACGAATCGATAACTGTGACTGACGAAGAACATATAGCCTTTTTGGTGTATTGGCTATGTACCCATGTTTTCTGCCCCCGATCCATCCAAATTTCCTCCCACCTCTACAACCTCGCCTACCTCCTCCATACTGGCCGGCCTAGGATATGTTTGGCTAAACTTTTGTTGGCCCACGTGTATACTGCTTTCGACGAAGTTGTCGACATTTTGAGTACTCCTAAAACATCGGAAAATTTCTCTGGCCCTATTTGGTTTGTACAGTTATGGTTGAACTCGATTTTTGAGAGCATCCTTCCCCCAACTTCCACTATCCCCCTAAGTGTAAATATCGAAGGTGCTCGGTTGTCTTCTCGCCACCCTCATCACAAGCCTGACGAAACGGCTTACTGTAGATATCTTAAGTTTTTGTTAACCAGATTTAATTTCGATTCAACTTTGGCTCCTTTTACCGTGCATCTAGGACGAATCAGCGACCAACTTCGAGGGCCAGTTTGGTTTAAGTCGAAATTCCCTTCCTTAACTCTTGGGTTGCAATCGGAGTTGGTTGATGTATGAAGTAGTAATTTGACCCATGATGTATTAGTATCGGGTTTTCAGTCAAAAGATTTCAAGCTCATCACC